TTAGTGTGGAATATCTTTAGACTACATATAAATATCGCAATCTATATGATATAACATAGATCATACTGCCCTTTTGTTTTCAACTCCTTCGAGTTGACAGGCATGCCTATTTTCTGTGTCTATCCTTACATTATTTCCACCCAGAAAACAACCCTGCCAGCGCCCAATGGCTGGCATAACCAGCACCCTGCTCAGACCTAACTCTCCCACCAGACTAGTCTCTAAAAGTTGTTCAAATGTTACAGGGTCACAGACTAAATTATCTTTTATCTGCCCCCAAAGATTACTGAAGAGTTACCTTCAAGCACAGTCTTACTCTCTGAACGAAGACTAGTAGGCAGTGCAGTTCTCAGCACACTTGAACCTTTGTTAACATTAATTGTAACAATGCATTGCCTCCAACCCCATGCTAAGTCTCTGCTAAATGCTGTACAGAAACCAAACAAGGTAGCTACTAACAGCTTACATTTTTTGAAGAACTAAGACTTTTGAATATGCCACTTCTATTTCCTTTGCTCATCTGTATTTCTACTTGGCACTATATTTCCAATGTGGTTTTATTAGTTCTTTATACAATAAAAGAGCACCCTCCAACAGATAACCTCGCATACAATTTAAGTGTGACTTTTATTTTGTTTTCTGCCATTCAGTATTATGGCCTTTCTGCACATAACAGCATAAAGCAACAATAAAAGTTTGCAATTATATCTCCAATAAGAACATTAGCACAATTATGTCACCACTAAAATCAAGCAGCCAGTGTTAAAGGGACATTTCAATTTTGCATGTCTAGACAGAAGATAAATAAGGCATCCAGACTTTGCAGCAAATTGTTGACATTTTGCATATAAGGAGTGCAAGAGAATTTCACTGCGTTGCACATCCTTCCTTGGGTCTTAAGATGGGTCTTAAACCTCAGGGAGTCAATTTGCCTCAAAGATGTAGTTACAGATGGTAAAAACAGCACATGAGAAGGCTGGAAAACCCATCAGGAAAAATGCTGGTGCTGGGGGAAGCCTCACTGCCTCTAAAGACGTTTCAATCAAAGCAGAAAGGCTGAGGTCGGATGTGTGGAAGGGTACTGAGATTACTCCTTCCACCCATTCCAACAGGCCAGCATACCACATGCTTCGTCATTCCATAACCCACTGGAACCAAAATAATTTTGAACCATAAGTTTAAATTTTGAATAGTAGATGCCCATTAACTCAGAAGAGCTTGATGAAAATCAAGGCACATAACCATATACATGCTGTTATGCTACCTAACTACAAAATAACTGATTGATGGTAACAGCCAGCTGTAGCAGGACTAGCAAGGCAACTACTTCAGGGCCCAAAAATGTCATCAAAGGTATACATCTCACTTTGATGTAAGAAAACAGTAGTAGAGCAAAGTGGAAGAAAACTAGAAATACAGGAAAAAACTCGGGCAATGAGGTATCATATCAAAAACTGGATTGAGTTTTTGAGCATCAGGGTAGCGTAGCTCACATCAGAAGGGGACGCGTGACTTCACTTCAGAAGTCAACATCAGTAAAGGCTTGGAAAGCTGAGAACAAATGCACATATACTCCAAACTTGTGATTTGAGAAGTACGGATATTTGAGACATTATCAGAGACAAGTAACAGAAAAAAAGCTCAAATTCAAATTCTGAACACCCATTAACACTACCAGGGGTATGAAAAAGATTGTGTGTGTCAAGCAGGGAAAAGGTAATAACAGAATGCATTCATGCCAGTTAGTAGTTAATATACGGGGAAGCAAGCATTTCCAGAACACAAGGGGCCAGGAGAGAATTAAATCCTAAATAGCAGTAGTTTAAGAACAAAATGTATTTCTTGTTACCCAGTCCTTTACAAAATGTACAGGCACACGATTATCATTTACTTGTTTTTGGCACACAGTCTGTACTTGACAAGCACTATAAAAGTTTATTCTAAATTGCATTAATAAGGACCTTCCTGCCTTGCTTTTGGGTGTGCAGCGGGTTGGCTGCCAAGATGAGATCAGTACCTGCTGCATGATTACTTGCCTTTACACAGTGGTCTGGAGCACAGAAAAAAAAAAGAGAGAATTTTTTCTGTTGAGATTTTCCTATTCTGAGAATTTTTCTGCTACAATATCTACTTCTCTAAAATTATAGCTCTGTTTTTGGAACCAGAACGGATATTACCTTATCACTAGAAATAATGTATTTAATCATTTAAAAAGTATTGGGGTAGGATCTGTGGCCCATATTTACAAAACCCCATCACAAAATAATCATTATGTTTTGTCTGATTTAACAAATAAATCCTTTGCCAAATATACAGGAAGAAATAAAACATGTTGAAAATCAGCCTGCATAGTATTTGAGAGCCACCCCACAGGGCATTTTTGTAGCAACTTGATACATGACTAAAGAAAGTACAGCTCCTACAAATCACTGAAAGTCTCCGTTTAAAAGCAGCTGCTGAGCTATTCTGTTAAGAGAATAGTCAGAAGTTTCTCAGATAGAGAGACTAGTATTTTTTGTGCATTCAGAACAGACCCAGGCTCTAGAAGCAAGTAAGATTTATTCAGGGATAACTGAGTTCCAATTTCAGTTACTTAGTTCATCAATATCTATTAAGGCATGTAAAACTCAAGTTCCTCTGCTCTTGACTTTCAGCAAAGAAAGATGAGTTTAAACAAAGCTCTGTTTCAGAAGTCTTATATTTACCTGATGATCCTCTGAGCAGCATACTGATGAAGTGAGCGGAACTGTGCTGACATATTTGCTAAGGCTGCCAGACAATTTGTATGAAGGTACTTGTCCTGTTGAGAAAAAAAGAGAGAGGAGAAAAAAACCCATCAAACTATCTTTTTATACATAGTGATACCTGCTAAAGGAAATCACTCAAAACACTGATAAATATCTATTGCTTTATAGGAAGTGGTCAAAGATGTACAAGGAGAACTGCTGATTGCACATTTGGGGATGTTTTAAAGATGTTTTCTATAAGACTTATAAGAGTGATTTCATACAGATTTCAGTACGTGTGTGTTTGTGTGCGTATACACACACATATAAATGTGTGTGCGTATACACACACATATAAATACATGCTTGTGTGTGCATCTGTGTTTGTCCTTACATCTTTAGCAATGTTACCTCCAACGTTACATAACATCATGGATGTAACAAATACTGAAAGACATTTTCCTCTCCTCCCTTTTATAATATTATCCTAAATTTTCTGCTTGATATATCTTGATCTTCCTACTAATTCTTTCAAAACATGCCCTGTATCCTACTTCCCCATAACTATTGCTATATGGTACGTCAGAGTTCTGCTCCCCTTGTTAGCAACTCTGAAACCATTTGATCAGATACGCATTTAAATGACGGCCCTATCAAAGTGAAGGTTTTTCACAGAAGCGACAAACTTCAGAATCCACAGCCATATGGAAGTCTTCAGTATCAGCTTTGCTTTGTCACAGACAAGTCAACATGGATGGGACTATTGCTCAAAAGGGAAAAAAAGAATTAATCTTAAATCATCATACTGACTTACTGCAGCATTATTAAAAATAGGGTTTCCAACTGCACATTCAGCTTTCACAAGTTTACTTCCATTCATGGGTGCAATCAGTCCCTATGCATCAATGCTTAATTATTTCTACAAGTAAAGGATTTTTCTGTACTCATACCTAAAATATACCTTTATACTTGAGCATAACAGATTTGAAATTCTGCAAACACATGTCAAGAATCTTCTCTTCTAGTTGGTTTCTTAAGTTTTCCAATTCAAAATACATTGAATAAATTGTTTTACATGAAAAGGATGCAAAAAAGTGCTGTGCCTTTAATTGTCAAAGGTATTTAGAAGTGTATGATACCATCGTTATACATTTGCTATAAGGTTTAGAATCATATGCTTGAAAAATTCGCCAAAATAATCTATAAGGACATGAAGTTGAAGCATTTATGCTTTGCCAGAACTCAAAAAGGTCTTAGCCAATCACTGTACTACTTCATTAAAAAACAAACAAAAAACCCTAACAAACAGAGCTGAAATTTCTTCTGAGTAACTTCATACAAGTTTAAAAAAAAAAAAAAAAGAATCTTTAAGTCTTCATCTGGAATCTTTTCTTATCTGAATTCTGTTTCTTCCAAGAAACATCTAGCTCTGTACTTGGATTATGGAGTTTAGAGACTCTTAGCCGATGAATTGAATGATAATGCAGAAATTGCATTACAAGTTCAGAAGCGCTTAATATTGTGCTTAGTTAAAATGACTGATCTTCCTCTTTCCTTCCCTCCAGATGCCAACTGGTTGCAGCAGAATCAAGAAAAACCCTACACCCTGTTCAAAACTGAAATCATAGTGTGGATTTCTAACTTCAACAGTATGTACCTAAGTGTTAAATACAACACTTACCCTTGTCCGTGTCATGTTGTACTGGATGGTTCTTATCACGACCAGTATCAGAAGACTCCCAAGTGAGATCTCTGTTAAAACACGCTCAGCATACCAAGTGATATTTTTCAGTATCTGAAAAAAGGAACAAAAAGTTTTGCAACAGCTAAGTCTATCCTGAATAAGAACCCAGAAAATTCTCTGTACTCTCACATCCCTTAAGATAGCTAAATTAGCTTCCAGCCTCAAATATGACAAAATCGATGGCAATGCAAAGCTAAAAATAAAGGGCTCTGCAGTATTATCACCTGGCAGATCTCATCGACTTCTTTTATAAGCCATGTGGAAACACATCTAAGCATGGAAAGATGATTAAAATAAGCTATTTCGTAATTTCTAATACGTAACGCCATTGCTTTCATAGATTCTCTCCAATCTTATCCTTCACACTTCAGAAAGTCTCCAGGTCCACGCTAGCCACCTGTATAGCATTTCCAATTTCTTCCCCTTTTCCCTCATGAGAAGATGGGCAAGAGGCAGCATGGGCAAGCTCTGACTGAGGGGCCAGCATGCACATGCTGAGGGATACCCAGACGACAAACAGGGTAACTGCTCGCTTCATCCTGACCCCTCTCTCTTGGTGCCGAGGTCACTTGCCATCACCTTGCTGACAACTTTCACTAAGCAAAGAGGAGTTTCCTATCTTTGAGCGCTCCTCACTATCAGGTTGACCATCATTTCAAAGCTTCCTGCAGCAGGAGAATCAATATGCTCTTTCTTCCCAGGTTCTTCAGCCAGCTCATCTGGAGCAATATAGCAGATGTATACACTACACTTGCCCTGAAAGATGACTTTAAGGGCTAGTAAAAATGAGCTTACAGGAACTGCCCTAACAAACATGGATAAGAGCATCCTCTATAAATGCAGGGTTGTTCTGGGCAGTAGAAACAAGCATTTGCTATCAAGGACTCTTTCACACAAAGCTATCACACTATCACTTTTTTCTTTAATATATGAAGTGCATTTCAGTGAAACTTCATCTTTCTTGACAAGAATACAGATGCCTCAAAAAATCCATGCCCCAAGCTCACTGATCAACTTCATTAATTGACCTCTTCTCTCAAGAGGTCATGTGAAAACATCATCTTCTGACTAGCCATCCTTCCTACCCCTTCTCTGATGACTAAAAAAGTTTGTTGCCATTCAATTTTCCTGCTTTCAAAATTCCCACTTCCTCCCACTGAGTAATGGCTCACTTAGCAAAGTCTCTTCCTTCTGCAAGAGAGGGGATGAATAAGCGGTAAACAGTTTCCTCTAAGAAAGAAATAGGGAGCTCTGACCAGTGAACGACTTGCAGAAGAGAAAGAAAAGGGAATACTGGGAACTACTTCAAGCTGCTGCTGCTTTCACACTATTTCCTCCTCCTGTCTGAGATGAAGTGGCTCAACCCTATATATTTATATATACCCCTTAAATATTTATTTGGTGAAATTTGGCTTTTTTTTTTATTTTATTTTTTATTTTTTTAAAAAGAACAGCAATTAAAGATATCTTCAGGATCTAAAGCCTTGTACAGCTACCCAAAACCAGATAACCTACGCAATGATATCTGCACAGGACTCAAAGATCATAACACTGAACGTTGCAAAGCCTGCAATACTGGTGGCAAGACCCAGGCCCAATGCTTAGGCATCTGTTGCTAAGAAGCATTACACCATAGCATCCCCGTCTTTGGTAATTCAGAAATCTCCCACTAGAATTCAACATTGCCAAAGAATAAATCGCTCCACATCTGAAAACAGGAAAATCAGTTATACTCACACATTCACTTAAGATGTGGGCATGAGCTAACCTGGAAAAACGTACAGCCAACATTTAGCTATTTAGACCTCTAGATTTATTTGTTAGAGGTGCAAAACACCCAAGCTTCTCATTAACGGAAATGGAGAAGGGTTACTCAGTTTGACTGATAATCAGGTGTTTACTTCACAACAGTAATTGAAAATCGTGCTTTTAAATGATGTAAGCACTTGGTTGCTAATCACTAAAAGAGCACTGTACTGGAATCCAAAAAGGTCACCCCATATTTTTCATTTTCACAGAATTAAATTTGTCTTTTAAAATTCCGTATGTTATACATTTAAAGAGATTAATAATTACGGCAATGCACACTGTTCTACATGCTCACAGATCACAGAACGCTCTGCATAGTTATTCGCCCTCTGTTGCTTCTTAAGATCTTAAGCACTTTCTATTAAAAGAATTTTAACATCAAACATTATTTCCTAATTAATTTATGATCGAAAAGAAAATCATTAGGCCACATTAAGTGCCTAATGGCTGGTTTCATAATTCAGTGTACTATGCCAACTTTTATCCATCTCTGCAAAAGAGTCACGTGGAAAAATATACTCTACATACTATTCTTTCTTGCCTCTGCCCCAATCTGCCACCGCCATCATCCAAATCCTGTGGCAAGAGCAGGCAATCTGTCCCTCCTCTGGCTACTGGCTGAATATTTCCCCTCCTCTATGAGGCACACTTCCTATATGCTCCCATTCGTATTTGGGGATCACCAAAGGCAGTACATGGAACAATTTTTTTCCCCTTTAGCAGTCTTTGAGAAGCTCCAACAACCCAGAAGCAGGAGACCAAAAGAGTTATTTTACTAACACAGCTTCTCCCATTCAGCCCAGAGACTGCATCTGTTCAAACTGTTCTGAATTGCTTTTACATTAAATTCACATATTGGCAGATTACTGTATTTTGACAAGAAACAGAAACAAAAAGCAAAGGTATTTTGCAGCTGAGGTGAAGACTCGACATTACCAACAGAAAATACTACACTATATTACTATACTTCATAGTAATATACTATATTAACTTCAAAACCTATACCATTGGTCATTAAAGTTGGTTTTTGCTTCCCCACAGCATTACACACGCTGAACATATTTAAACGCTAACTTCGTTTGTTTTTAGAACTGTTATGGAAATTATGAATCACTGAATTGTATTGGAATTGGAAATAAATGAGTTCTCCCATCCTATTGCCAAAACAGGACTGCTCTTTAGGGCCCATACTCAAAATCATTGTTCAGTCCTGCTTTAAGAGACTCAAGCAATCAAGCTTCCACTTAGTAGACTACTCCAGAGCTCAAACATCTCAATATTAGAGTTTTTTCCCCTCTGGTTTTCAGTCTACTTTTTCATCTTTGCCCAGTTTCATCCCACCACTGTTTTAAAATACCCTGCTGGACCATCGTAAGCACTTCTTCTCCCTTAAGATTTACATTTGTTAGTTTTACCACATTCTTCCGTTTAATGTCATTTTGGGGCACACTGCAATAAAAACTTATATTTGTATTCATTTTAAGTTTTCCAGTTACCAAATCAAGGGCCTTTTTAAATTATATACTGTGGCAGCAGTCACAATAACGACCTTCCATAAATATCCCAATATCACTACCTATAGAGATCAAAATTGTGCTGATTCGTGAACCACCACCAAAAACTGGAAGACAGACTCTCAGTCTACAAGTCTCTCTACATCAATAAGCAAACACTTTAATAACAAAAAGTGAAGCTGAAGCTTAATGTACTGCACCTAACAACCCTTAAGGATATCTTTTTATTTTGTTATTCTCCTGTAAGCAAAATGCAGAATTGCCAGAGGTCCTGATTTAACAGGGACTGTCCCCATATTAAAATCTCTCTCTAAAAAACAAAGTCATATTTACAATCCGCATCTCTATTAGAAGCTAAATGACTAATTTCCCCAGTACAAAGTGTTTTAATGTGTCCAAAAGTATACTCCAGATTCAGTGCCTAACTTGATAATCACAACCTCGTGTTACATTTAAAAAAAAAAACAAACCACAAACACACAATATACAAACCTTTTGCCATCGGAGCACTAACTCTAGTGATCACAGTTGGTTACTAACCCTCTTCCGCCACTCAAAAGTAACAAACCCAATGTATGCACTGAGAGGGTTTATGCACAATTCAAAGTTTTCAATTTGTTAATTTCTGAATTATTAAATATATGATAGTTTTCACCCAGTGGAATATGAGCAGGCTATTGAAGGGTTCTATAAGAATATTAACAGAACAGAAATCATTGCAGATGACAACTTGTTTTAAAATGGAACATATTTCTTCAGAAAAAAATTAAAAGTTGTATTTAAAAATGAACACTTCAACAGGGAAGCTCTTATTCTTGTTTTTGAATCACCTTTCTGATCTTTGTTTTTCTTCCATCAATTAGCTTCAGTATTGAATTCTCCCCATGCTTCCTGCAGTTGTGTTTGGAGTATCACTAATGTAATCAGGAGGCAGAACGCTCTTTACCAACCCTTTGGAATACGACCAGCAGCAAAGCAGTTTCTTGTTTCAAAATGGATGCATTTTACAACA